CAAGTTTATTTTTTAAGCAAGTAAAAGCACCTAAAGTGTATGCAGCAATTTTTTTAAGTTATGCAATGTGAGTGGGAACATATAAGAAATGCAAAGTAGGCTTTATCCCAGTTTGGCTGCAAAAGTGAAAATACACTTTAAGATCTACTAAACTACATATCACCATGCACAGTAGTTCGTACAAGTTGTACCTGCAATTTCAATAGCATTAAATAAAATGCTGATTTTACAAGTGATTTACCATTGAAAACCATAGCGATGCATCATACCACACATTCGTTACACATTCAGCTAATTGCATGTGAAGATTTTCTGTTAAAATAATCATTTGTATATGGCAACGTTCACTTCCCACACCAGATGTCACAAAATGTTATGCCACTTACAAATAGTAGGGACAAATGTGGTCTAAATGGATTGGGTCGGAATACAATGTTTTCTATTACCACATCCCTGTATTACATTTCATTTACAATAGTTAGCTGACATTTCAACAAAAGAAGAACATGGCATATGGGTATTTTGCACTGATCAGTTTGAGTACAGACCCTTTAAATTACAGACAATTGACCACAAAGACATTCAGAATGGCACTACTATTGAAGCAAAGAATGAAAATGTTAATTCAATGGCATCACAGTTTGCATTCTTTTTCCCGCAGTATTGTCATTGGGAGTGTGATTTAAGTAACAGTTAATGCTTATGGAGTCACTGGACCTTTACATTTAAGTTTATAATTCAATTACTGAAAATGCAAATTAGGCTGTAATTAAGTTTAACAGAAGATTACAGGGGAAAGGGGGGGCAGAGGAGAAAACAGGTTCAAACTGAAATGTGTCATGCTGTCTGCTTTGGTGAACATTGTTGCTTTTATTTTTATCTCTTAAGCTACTACCATATCATTTCCAGCATGTTACATTATTTCAATTCATTCAACCTTAAGACAACTGCAGCTTATTTGTTTTGAGTGATATTTCTTTTGTTTGTTGTAGTCTCCAATTTAGAAAAAATACATGCTATTATTACAAAAGTATACAGCAAATTATTTATACTCTAATGAAGGAGTATTCTCTAATGATGCTGGGGCAGGTCCAGCTAACTTGGGTTCTGAGGAAGTGGGTTGAATGATGCTGGTCATCAAACTGAGGACATCTAAGAAAAAAAAAAAAAAACTGCAGGGGAGATCTGCAGATGAAAAGTTAATACTGCAGCACAAGCTGGTTTTGTTATTTTATCTTTTATGGGCTATTTATTTGTCTCTAGTTTTTTTGGGCTGGAGTCCTAATTTAAAAAAAAAAAATATAGGTGTACATTGTGTTGAACCTCCAACAGTAAAACAGTTTCAGTCCAGAGGAAGGCAAAACCCCACAAAGCATTATCATTAATGTTCTGAATCAAACAAAAAATATATATAATCCCTAGTAATGTTACCTTGAGGCAAGGTTCACACCTGGGAAATCCGTGAGCGAGTAGCAATCATGCACAAAGCCTCCACGAATGGTTGTGCGATCACGGAATCGCACACCACCACTGATCACGCTGGCGGTGCCATTCGTTTCTAATGGTACCCCAGTCGCACCAGGCAGATAATGCGTTTTCCCGCCGCGATTCCGCCCGTCCATTCTCATAACAAGCGGGACCTCTCACGGGGCATCCATTTAACAGCTGTTTATGTTAACATATTAAAATACTGAATGATTAATTTAATGAGCAAGAAACACAATCTTCAGAAAGCAAATTATTCAGAGCTTCGGATATATATCTATACTACCACTAATAGAATTATATATGACATCAAAAGCAGAGGAAACACTTCAGTCTCAAGAACATTGATATGGCTTAGCCAACGTGTGCTTTTAATCACTGATGTAACATTTAAGTTTTGTTCAATATTCATGGCTTCCAATTTGCCTGAACATAAAGGTCTGTGATTTTAGCTTATCAGCTAGAGTTTGATAGATTACATAGCATGCTGAAATTAACAGGGCATTTTAACACTTACATAAATAACTGTTTAAATCACAGCATGGAGCCAATACACCCCTTCTGTCTTGGCTTTGATGAATTCTTTGAAGATGGTTGTCATACACTTTACAAATCTACATATACTGCATATTGCATTTAAGGGGGTAGTGCTAGTGGTGGTGGTGGTGGGGGAGGGGGGTTAATAAGAAAAAAAGAAAATTAATTAGATTGTTTTCTAGTGTTTCAAAGCAACTTCTGATATATAAAAAATTACAAAGCCAAAGGATGTAAAATATACTGTACCCAAGTGCTGTGGTGGCATAGTGGCTAAAGAGGAACATAACATTTAAAGTGCTAATTGCTAAGCACAGTAGCTTGGTGGCTTGCACTTCTGCTTTGCAGCACCGAGGTCCCCAGTTTAAATCCAGGTTCAACCAGGACATTGTCTGCGTGAAGGTTGAATGTTTTCCATGTGCCTGCGTTGGTTTCTTCCCACACTCCCAAGACAGAGCTGGTAGATAAATTGGCCCTAGTACATGAGATAGGGGCTTTAGAATATTATTACTATTGTTATTATACTGGATTTACTTAGCCCCGACAGTTTGTGCAGCACTTTACAAAATGGAGGGAGACGGTAAAGTTACAATACAATTCCAATATAGGGGGGTTAGGAGGGCCCTGTTCATAAGTGCTTAAAATCTGGAAGGGGGGCCAGGGTATACAATTTTGTGGGATTAGTTAATGGAAGAGGTAAAAGGATAGTTATTACGTTGATGTGGCTTCCCTGAGGAGATGAGTTTTCAAGGACTGCAAAAGGTGGACAGAGTAGGAGATAGGTGGATAGATTGGAATAGGGAGTTCCAGAGGATGGCAGAGGCAAGTTAAAGGAGAACTATGGGGTTAAGGCTTTTCACCATAGTTCTCC